ACTTACTTGATTCACTAACAAATGGACAATGATGAAAAACTGAACATAATGCTAGTCCAGTCTGTTAAATGACCATATCCCGATCTCAGAGGACTAAAAACAGATGCATTTTTATTTAAAATCACTTCTCTGTTGATCGAGTAAAGACCAAGTAGAATTAGTTTGAAGGATTAAATTGTTAGCAAATACTTGAGGCTAGTTTTAATTAATTATGAGGAAGGTGGCTGGTATTCAAAGGAGTATATGTCAACTACCGAAACTCCACTAATTCAGTCGACAACTATAATTTCCTTACTGCTAATTCATAGAAAGGTGCTTTCAGTTAGATTCGCCTTTTATTCGGTTTTATTTAAATGTTAATTTTGGAAGTAAGTTTTAGTCCATTATTTATAATTGACTGGTTTTAGAAAAGTCAACAAAACATGAACACAATCAATTTATGCATTTATTCTACTACATTAACATGTATTCTTTGAGTGATTTTAATATCGCATGTACTCAAATTACAAGCTGACTGCATTATCTAAGATGATGTTGATCTTATCCTTCAAAATAAAACAAATACTAGTTTTTAAGCTTTGATAACAACTATATTTAAATATCCAGATATCATCCGTATCAAGCGAAAAGCATCAAATACGCAGATAAAGTTTTATGATCTATTTATTTACGGCATTTCAGTTAAATGTGGTTTTTCAGTTTTACATATCGAGTTTGTGCATGTTCATTTTCATGAATAGTTAAATATATATATATTCGCCTTCGACTTGCTACTTAAGATTTAGGGTTGCAATTGACCAGTCTTTATTTGGCTCTGTGTGGATTACCATAATACTGATAGTCAGTCAATGGGGATTCCTTTTCTACCTACAAGTAAACTTACTAAAAATGTAACTAGAGTCTACAGAATTATTTCAAGTTATCTCAGATTATAAACCTTAGTAATTTGCCAATTTAACGGTAGTATGTATTTAATAAATTTAAAGATAACAATTATGTTAAAAGTACTACAATTTCATCGGGATGTAATACATTTTAGTTTAAAACTCGACCAGTTTTTGCAAATGTTTTATTTCTTATAAACTCTTCATTAGGAATCTGTTATTGTAATAAAATTTTAATGTTTTTAGCACTCAATAACACTTTTTGATAATTTTAGAAAGTTGTTATTTTGTAGTCCCATAATATAATATTTATCGATATATTCAGTATATGTGAAGAGGTTAGATATTTTGTATTCGAACAGCTGATTTATTGAATACTTCAGTTATTGGATATGAGTTTCATTATGACCATAAAACGTGGAATGTAAATACATCGTTTTGACAAGTCAGTCGTAAATGAAAAAAAACGCAAGTTCAAACTATTACTATCACCTACTATCAAAAGTATGATCTCAAAGAGTAACATTTTAAGCTTACTATACTATAGTTTATTTTGTATAAATTCCAATCTATTATTGTTTGGTCTAATTAATTAACTGTCCGTTTTTTGATTAGCTTATTCCATTTAGTAATGCATTGTTCCATTTCAGAAAAATAGGTAACGTATAATTTTGTGAATTTCGCTAATAATATTTTTCCTATCGGTAAATTTTTTAGGACTGAATCAAACAAAACTATTATTTGCTCAGTATACAAGGTAGTTAATAATTCAAAAAGATCCATCGGTTTCCATTATTATTCTTTAAACATTATTCCAACTATCAACTAGTTAAACTGTTTCAACTTTTCTTTAGACCTTCACAATGCAATAAAATTTACAGTTCATTATATAACTTAACCTGTGAAAACATCGTTCTTTATATTGTTCTTAATTAAAGATCTCAGTTTTTAACATAATTCCATTCAACAGTGATATGTCTACATTTCACAATGTAAAATCTAAATAAACTTGTAAACATTTGATCAATGTTTTTTTTCAATAATGTGCTGTTTATTTTCCAAGTGTACATTTTTCTCTTCACAAGTTATTCAAATAAAATACGGATGCACTACGATTCCAAAATGAAAGCAAACTTGTGAAACAAAGACAGTCGAAATGTTTTCTTTATTCCTTGACTAAAATCAACAGTACACACATATCCATTGTTTATATCTATAATTACATTGATATATAAAAAAAATTTTCTCACAATTTATTATGTAATTATCCTATGCATCCTTTCATTCATCGGACATCATTAATATACTTTAATGATATGATCTATGGTACAAGTTTTGATTGGTTTGTTCGATACTAAATAACTTCATTCCATTAGTGCATTCCATGTTGCCTAGGTCACCATTATTTTATTTCATCAATAATATGTGTAAGGTAGTTATCACCAGTAATGATCACATGATTTGGGTCAGTTGGACATTACCTCCTTATTAATTACTTAAGACAATACTTTATTTCAAGAAATTTTCTATTGTTGTTATGATTTCAGTTTCTACAAAAAAAAATATTCAAGTCAATTGTTAACAGTAAAATTGTAGAACCTGAAGAGAATTTATCGAAAAGAATATTCTTCGTTCAAATACTAGTCTTTTAATACGATGGGGATCTTTAAACGAATAATCGTTGACCTATACAAGCATGATGAACTTGAGAACTACCTTACAAATGTATTTTAACATTGGACATTTCTATTTTCTCCTAGAATACTTAATAGAGATGTTACGTTCATTCTAACAACGATGATTTTAATCAGAGAGGAGATTTTTGGATATTATAGTAATTTAACGGTTGAATTCATCAGTCAGTTGTAGCTGGATCAACATGGAAAAACCTGGGAGAACAGGACAGCCGTTTCGTCCCATCGCGGGACTCCTCATCAGTGCGCATCCATTATCCCGCTCCGCGAGAGTCGAACCCAGGGCTTATCAGTCTCTAGCGCGAACGCTTAACCTCTAGACCACTGAGGCGGCATCCAACGATGTTAATATCTAACTTCAACTAATCCACCAAATAGAGTGACACATTCACCATTGTCATCAGTGAGTTACTATCTTACAACAGACTAGGTTGAACTTCACTGGTCACTGCTTCAATAAATCATTAGTTTGAAAATTATTGATTACTGAATGAAAATACTCATTTCATTAATAATCCACAATAATCTGAAGGCGTAAATAAATTTTCTTTTTCATGAGTATATGATCAGTTTGAAGATTTTCATATTCTATTTTATCTATACAGTCTTCAATTTTAATTTTTTCTTCTAAGCACATGTGTTGATAATTAAACGTATATTAATAATTACTTATCAGTAATAACCTTATGTTCTAATACACAGAGAAATTTACATTCCTTATTCTATTAGTTCAACATGTTCTTAAAATTACATTTTAACTATTATATCGAAATCAGATCGGTAAAAAGAAGCACTTTCTACTTATTTTTCTTAGTATTATACAAATCACAAAGTAATTTGAATAGTCCACATTTATTTGTTTTGATGTAATACATGTTACGTAATTGGTAATGGTAAATAAGAGTGTTTAGAGAAACCTGCCTTCGGTACAATTTCATCTATTTATTTGTGAATAATGAAGATCAATTCGCGTTTATCAATCAACTGACGTTTCAAGATGTTATTGTTATTTCAACTTAACTATTATTTAAATTGTACAATTGAAGATTTAAGATGATTCTTTATTTTGTATAATTCGATCTTTTTAGTGAACTTTCCCAATGTTTAATTTGTGCTTTACTATCAAAAAGATTCTTGCATCAAAATTTTATGGATTTTTATGTTATGTGTTGGTATACCCTCAAGGGTCTGAAAATAAGACAGATTGATTATTTAATGATTTGTACTTTGCTGTGTCGCTTGCAGTTGATGTACATTCATAAAGGCTATAATCCTGAAAATATGATTGATTCATGTATCATCAAGTTTCAAACTGATAAATGATGATAGTACATAAATACGATACGTTCCGATTCATTCTAGAAGTCACCTCTAGTTTCAAAGGTTGTGAATTATGAAATGTATTCTTTAGTCTATATGATGTTTATGATATCTATTCAGTTCAAGAGCTTCACGCTAGTATCTTGGATTATTATGATAACATTGAAAAAATTAAATTTCAGAAAACAATATTCAAATTTTGTAGGACTAATCCCATATCCAATATTCTTTCAATAAGATGATTTATTAAAAGATGCAGTGGCTTATTTACATTCACTTTTTATTCACCGTTCAACCTTAAATTACAATATTATTTTGTATTTTTTATTCTGCAAATTTATTTTCTCTGATGGAATCGTAGTCTCTGTCACTTGTCTTTTTTTATTATCAGTTATATTATGATAATTTTAATTCATCTACTTACTATTCACTTTGTCAATTTTTTCACTCTATGATAACGTGGTGTAGTAATTGAGAGGATGCTTATAATCTTGCCGTATTTTACTCATCATAACTGACTGACTTTGGTCTTATCATCATGGAATTTATGATTTGACATTTTATTTCATTGTAACTTACAAGAATATTATATTCTTGTACTTTATTAGATACTCTCCTCACGTAGGAAAGTGTGTAACTTTTGATAGATGTTTAACTTATCTATAAGCACCACTTTTCTGAGTTGTCCATCACATGTTTACCCAATAGTTCATTTTACGGGTAGAATTACTACCCAGATTAGGCTTATATACTTAGTGCTTAATAACTCACATCATTTTAATTTACTTTAAGCATTCACTCGTCTTATATTTGTAAGTAGGATGAATTCCTTATAAGTTGCACTCCTACAGTATATTTTTCAAAATAAAAAACACTTTTATATTCATACTACTTAATTTAAAAAGTAGTGTTTCATAATTAAGAAAATTGGTAAAGGTCTTTGGTACAAGATACTACACAGGTAGAGCATAGTTTTTAAATTTTGTGGAATTGTATTGACAATTTTATCCTTTATATGTTTTATGTATCAGCAATAAAAGAGCTGATACAGGTGTCGTGGATTACTGACGGCAGTTTATTTTAACTTAACACATATTGAAGAGGAAGAATAAAAATTAGGCAAACTAGAGTTCAAGTTCATACAGATAAAACATAAAATAATGTCATGTGTGCTAATTTGTTATTGATTTGATGGTATTCATGGCTTTTTTCTAAACACAAAAGTTCAAGTTTTTATTGATATTATTTGTCGCGCAGCATGTTTGTTCTCATTAGATGAGGATTATTATATTCATGTGCAAGTTTGGAAACTTTAGGCCCTTGGAGGTCGTCTGACTCACAGAAATCATCTTCTTCCTCATCATCTTCACTATCCATTGGTTCACAATCCTCAGAGTCCCCTTGACCAAGTCCACCTTGACTTCCAGGGTAGCTTACTGCTGATTGTAGACCCCTAGTAGCTGATGGTAAAAATCCACCCGTAATCATCGGATCTGATTGTATATTGTTACTCAATAATTTTGGAATCAAACCTGATTTTTTATGTAGCGATAATGGTTTACAGTCAAGTTGACAGTTGTCTTTTGAGTCAAGAATGCTTGGATTAGAAGTTGTTGAATAATAACTGTTATTGTTGTTAGAATTCAACATTTCGAAGTATTGATGTGATGAGCCCATTTGACGTCGACTATGGTGAACGGGATCTGTAGTTGTTTGACGAATTGTTTCGTCATTTAATTCCTTGATTTGTTGGCGTTCTTTTTTCAATTTCATTCTTCTATTCTGAAACCAAATTTTGATTTGTCGCTCAGTTAAACAGAGATTATGAGCTATTTCGATTCGTCTCCTCCGTGTTAAATAATGACTGTATTGAAACTCTTTTTCTAATTCTAAAGTTTGATACCGACTGTATGTTTGACGACCACGACGCCGCTGAACTGAGTTTGGTCCTGATAATGGAATTTTAAAAAAACGAAATGCAAAATTAATTTTATAAATGAAATTTATCCAGCCAAAAATAAGGTTTAAAGGCTAACAATTTATGCACTAATATTCAAAACTGGATTGTAGTTACTTCTGAGACTTCTCCTAGTTGCATAATTGTTCAATTAAAATCTGATCTTTATCGTAAATGTACATTGTTTCTCACCTAAAGTTAACTGTAATACAGTATATCTTTTGATAAACAAAATACTACACATAAAGTAGGTTTGGTTTCACTCAACCATTTATTTCAATTTCGTGCAGCATTTGAGAATCTGACAAGGTGAAAGAAACTCATCCCATTCAGAAAATGCTGTGCTAGTCACGTTTCTTTTCAATAAGGATATCATTGGTGAATGTTTAGTACAAATTGTTCATCTACTTAAATAATTTAAGTAGCATACATTTAAAATATAAAAATATAAATGTCGAGCCGGGCCGATCATTCATCAAGTCAGGGATGAGGTAATCTTTCATAATCTACAAGTGTGACATTGACATACTCAAAAATAGGTAGAGTAACGTTTTAGAATGTTTTTCAAGTGAATCCGAATTTAATAATGCTGTAGTGATCAGACAAAAAGTTTTTACAAAAAATAATTTGGCTTTTATTTTAAACTGATTATCAAACTGATTTTTATAACATTGAGCTAATATCTACCTAGTTTTGATGATCAGAATTAACCTTCAATTTCTTTTGTAAAAAGGTATTATTTGGTTCGGAAATATATAGTTTAGTTTCTATGAAGAATATCTCAATGTCTTAAAAAATATTTAAACAGTGTAAATCACGAACTGATTGAATTCGGTGCAAGGTCATGGATATGCATTTCTACAATAATGAAAAAGTCTGTCCATTGCTCCCAGGCTTCTAATGTTGATGCAACTAAGATTAGTTCGTCATTTAGACCAAGGAACTTCTGTAATCTCCACAGATCCGTATATTATTAAATTTTATCGTCAATTCTACTGGTACTATTAGGTTTGCCGTCTCTAAACGACCCAATTCTTCTTTGCGATCGGAGAACCTTCTGAAATGTTATTCTTGTTACTGCATTTGTCGTCTTTTATCATATATCTACCAAGAAATATTCTTCAAGAATAGTGGGCAAATGAAGTCATTTGGCCCAGCTTGCTTCCGAAATATACGTAACCACTAACGGTATCAAAACTGGAAAATATGCTATTCAAGGTAAGTTTGTGTGAAATCATTGGTTAAAACTTACTCATTCATCAATTCACGTTAAACCACAAAGTTTATGGGTAATTACTAATGCCGAAGATGCTCTAACATTTATCAACCATATGACAGAAGTCTTAGATGATGATTATGCTATTCTATTATTTAACGAAAAACAACAATCCCAAATAGGACGAAATGCATGTCCTGGATTGCACTGCTAACCAACATCCATCATTTTTTAAAAGTGACATTTGTTTAAAAGTGTTTATCATTTTATAATATGGAAAACAATCTTAGAAGAGAGTATTGTCCTCGAAGCACTATCGATTATATGGTTTGAATTTCAGCCACCATTTGAAAATAAAACCATTCATTTTTAGTTTTCACGGAAAATGTTACTGGTAATTTACATAAAAGGTTAGGTTTTATGACCCGGTATTATATTTTATTTTGTAACGAGTGCCTATTAAGTAAATATAAGTAGCATCGGTTAATCAATGAAAATATTCTGGGGTGTATTACGACTGGGGATAACTGCGACTATTTATGAAGAAAAGAAAAATTTGCACGACTTAGGGAGAAAGACAAGGACTATTGATTAGTGAATATATTATTCAACCGCCGAAAGCTTAACGACAACTTATTGACCAAATTCACTTATAAATCCTGTTTTTTTCTTAAGAATTATCAAATGAATATCATACATAACTTAAATATTTAGAATGTGAAAGTGAATTTTTTCTGAATCAACATTCATCAATTACTGCATGTTATACAAAATAAAGTGTATGATCACGTATGTTACTCAGCCCGAACGTGGTGAAACCCTTACTCCATCCCGTATTTCTAAGTTCATAATTATAGAAAATGAACGTGCTGAATATACTCAACATGCTTGTTGTAGTTTAACTTATGAATTGATTTGAACTAATTCTAATTTTGTTACTTATATGTTGCCTTATATTCCACAAGCTTGTTTATGTCTTCGATTAACACTTAGGGTAAACGGTAATTTTGCATGTAAAAGTAATTACGTAGATAACATGATTATCTTGCTTACTATAAACTATATAAGAAACGATTTTTCGGGTCTAGTTTATTGCATAGAAATTATATTTGGATTGGTTGCTGTAATTAAATCAAAGTGCTATGAGGAATCATGTTCAGTTATAAAGAGTTTAGACTTAAACAGCTGAATTTTAATATTGCTCCTCTTGAAATAATTAAATTGATCAGTACACTCAAATTTAAGTAAATAGCATAAAATGCTTACAAGTGTTTCATTAATTCTTTTCTACCAGAAATGCATGCTAATTTCATGTTGTACATAACAATGAAGCAAAATTACAGATTTGATTCATCAATTAAATCGGCATCAGGATTTATTTTAGAATCGGCCACATATATATTCTTTAAGGAATTTCAGAAAGTAAACGATACCTTACAGTTTTTCTGATCTAGTATAAGATCAAAATCTTTACTTATTCAGAAAGGTTACCCAAATGGTGAAGAAATTTGGTTTGATATTTATCAAGTTATTTTGTTTATTTAATGCTAAATCTTTCAAATAACAAAAACCACTTCATTAGACATTCTACACACAATAGTGAATTCGAATTTACATTTTGGGTCAGTTTTCATTTGAAACTTCAAATAACTTCTCTCGAAACTTTTGTAAGAACCAACCTGATCGGTTCATCTATCTATTTGTTTATTTAACCAATAGGCGGATTAATTGATTGTTAATTTCAATTTATTTCACATGTAACACTTGTAATATCAAAACACGTAAAATTTTAAAAAGTAATTTTTTTTTCATTTGACAAATAGATCAAATTGCCTTTATGATTGTGAAACTTAAATTCCCCTGTCATTTATTTTTGTAACCATAACAACAGGATAGATATCAAAGACCACAAATTATACTCCCATGTGTCATTTAATTCTCTACACTTTAAACAACATATATAAATGTTATGTAGGTGAGGAACACAAAAACTATGAGCCTCCCCCCTATAAATTCATGACAGTATAGTTTGAAAACAAAAAAACGACGAAAGTAGTTGATGTGCATTTTATTTTGTTATTGTCTTACAAATGATTTTAGCTGATATTACTTAAATTTCATTTCGAACTTGAAAAAGGATTTTGGAAATACATGTTTACTTAAAGAAAATTTCATCTTATGGGTGTATACATTTCTTACCATCATTTTGTTAACATAACTGTGATTTTGCTTAAACCACTGTATTTTAAAGAATTCACTCATTAAAATAATTTCAATGTTGAGAATATCAATCTTGACAATCAGTTGAGAGTCATGCTGCACAGAAATGATAGTAATTGAAATGTATTTATATTTTTTATTCTTTAACTTTCACAGTCTATTGCATACATGATTTCATGTACACCTATCTATTAGATGGTGGCTGGAGGTAGTCAACAGGAAACCCTGGGCCGGGTTTCGTGCTACTTGGCACTCGTCAGCAAGGTGTACCTGTAATCTTGAGTGAACTGGTGCTCCCTGGCGGATTCGATCCCTTGTCACCTAGCTTCAAAGTCAGAGACGTTATAACTGAGCTATCCGGGCCAGGGAGCACCAGTTCACTCAAGATTACGGGTACACCTTGCTGACGAGTGCCAAGTAGCACGAAACGCGGGTCCAGGGTTTCATGTCGACTACCTCCAACCACCGTCTAATCTCAATATATAGTGCACGCAGTTTCGAGTCACCTAGACTGGTGGCTACATTGCAACATGGTCGACAGCATTCGATCTTCACTTAAGAAGGACTTGACACAAATGATATTGATCATCACTCAGTGGTCAATCACTTGTGACACCTATCTTTTAGAAGCTGTAAATAAAATAACTTTTAACGCAACTCCTTACACGATAAAACTAATACAAGTTGTTTATCAAGTATAAATGAGTTTTCTCATAATTTCTATGAACATTCCCTACCTGTTAAAAAGTCACTAAGTAACGAATTATTGTCAGCTCAATCTAACTGAAATGAAAAAAACATGTAACAAATTTAAATAACAACTTCTGTCTTAATTTGATCGAATAGTTTCACACCATTTGAGCTCTGAGTTTATGTGAGACGTTAAAGAAGAAGAACGTATTTGTAAAATCTCAGAGAAAGAATTTGAAGTAAATCCAACGTTTCATCTGGCACTCTGGTTCAAGCTTTTTCAAGGAAATATAATCAAACATTAAAATTATCGGTAAACTATTCGATCGCCAGACGGAACATTGGATTTACTTTAAATTCATTCGCTGAGATTTTACAAATACATTCTTCCTCTCTAATGTAACTAATTTGTAGTTATTTAATAATTAGAAATCTTTTTCATAATTCACTTTTGTAATCTGAAGGTTTTGTATCACATAATTTTTTTGTCTGGTTTTTTAAGTCAATAAGAGAAATGGACTAGTATTAGATAGGTGAACTTATGGATCCTTACTCATACCCTTAATGCATCGCTGACCTGATGAACTCAATTCTATTTCTTTAGATATTTTGAGTGCTTACTACTTAGGAGTTCCTTATTAGGACGAGACAGCTATCCAATACTCTATTGTTTACTAGCTGTCTAGCTGATGTCAGTCTGTGATGCAAATAGTCGTCAAAAGAAGTGCAGCTTGGGAAACCACAAAATGTACTGTCATAATATTCTGTCATTAACTTGTCCAATAGTAATGTGCTAGGCTTAGTTGATTACATTGACTCAATCATTTGGAAAATATCAACAGAAACTTTTATTTACATACTAAATT